AATCCATCACCAAGGTTTGTCCTTTCGTGCCCTGTTTAATAAGGGTAACAATCATAATTAGGATGTAGCTGAATGGAAGGCCGATTAGAATGTACAAGAAGCATTTGAAAGGTTGACAGGCATGTGATCAGCATTTATGCGCTACCAAGTTATTCGAGACTTCATACCTTGCCTGTGAAATCCGCGGGCAAGGATACTCAGAGATGATCTTCTTGCCCTTCGGAGTGGCTTCCTACTTTTGTTTATTAAAAGAGAATTTAAGAGCAACTGTAACAGCACATGGAAACACTCAAAGGAAGAAACGAATCGGCCCACCTGTTTGGGTCTTTGCTAGCTTCAATTGTAGCCCCCTCTTCACTCCCAACGCCATGGGAGAAGATACGTAAGAGATTGCCGAGTCAAAAGAAAAAGATATTCATGTTAGGTCAGTGAAGGCCGGAGTCTTTCGGTAAAAACATCCGAGTCAGATGACTAAACACGTGGGCATAAAGTAGCAGGAGAACCTATAAGATCCAGTTGCAAAATGAAGTCCATCTCCACTGACGCAGCACTCAAATTTATCAAATATGGAGTCATTAGTATACAAATCGCACAACTGCATCACAAATTGCATGCTATCAATAATAAAAACAAGTCGGAAATGTGACATGAGAAAAAAGTAGAGATAAGATGGGGACAACTTGTACAGCACAGCTCTAGACAAGAAGTAGCCACGAGGAAAAGAACTTAATGTCAACCATTTAACATCTCTTGCCACTCAGCTAAACCGGCTTCTTACCGAACAATACTATCAAGATAAGCAAATATGCCAATGTACAGGAAAAACTAACACGACTTATAACAAAAAGATTGAACCCTGAGCATAGAAGTTAATTTATCTGTTAAAATGGGATAGGTGTGTTTTGCTCTTTGCACTTAGCAAAGTATGAATGCTTTGTGAAGATACCATCATCAAGAAAAGCAAGTAGGCTAGTCTGTCAATGAACAGAAAATACATGATAATGGAAAAAATGGAAGCACGCGGTGCATGGAAGTTAAATAGTCTATTAAAATGATATTGCAAGTTTTCTGTTTTCTTTGGATGTATAATACAAATCATTCATGCAAAAGGGGGAAAAAAAGAGATTACAAGCTCCAGAAAGACCTATAATACAAGACACTAGTACTCATCTATCATGAATGAGTTTCCACGTGAGTTATCTTAATATAAAGTTGCACTGGAAGGATATGCACTTACATTTGGGCGCAAGTGTTCGTGAATCTTGAATGTTGCAACTGGTGAAGAATCCATGCGCACATCCCATAGCTGAAACATAAAATGAAAATCGTCAGTTAATAGAAGACATAAGCACATTATTTGCATTCAGAAGAATAAGCAAACATATTGGGGGGGGGGGATATAATGTAAAATCAAAGAAAACACTACTTTGAATTTGGATGAAATTACCTATAAAATCACATTTCATACTTCATGAGTAATTCTCAGTCTAGGTTAGGTACCTTAAGGTTCATATAGTCACGGCTTAAGATGTGCCGTCCATCAACTGAAAACTTTATATCAGATATGGAAGCAACAATCTCAGTAAGGAATGAAGGAGACCCGTGACTTTGTTCATCCCGAAATCTGTGTAATACAAACCAAAGATAGTATTTGAAACCTCCATTCCTTGTTTGATGGTAACATAAGTCAATGGTCGTGATAACTAAAGAACTGCAAGGAAGAAAGAGGACCCACAACTCACATCATTGCATTGAAATCACATAATGCTGATTGTCTCATGTCAACTAGACGAATAAAACCTCTTGAGCTGCTATATGAAAGTAGGTTACAATGAGTTGGATGGAATTCAGCTGACGTTATGACCTCTGAACAAAAGTAAACAAGATTGAGAAGAAACGGGTTAAAAACAGCCAGATAAAAAAGGGTCTTAGTCATAAGTCAAAGCATAGCTAAGAATGTCATAATATAGGAAGGCTGTCTTGTCAAAAGGAAATGAAAATGATTTGACATCAATTGCATTGGAATAACAGATAAGGGAGCTTCACAACTAGGCAAGACCTTAACTATGATTCAACCAGGGAATGAGAAACATAAAGTAATCCGTCATACCGGTTACCTCCGCTCACTATATCTAACTCATTCATAACAAAAGTAAATCCAGTACTTCTAGCTACAAAATGCAGAGAGAAACAATGAAAAAATTGGAATTAAAAAAAAAATAAAGACACCAAACAACATTCTTTGGAATAAAAAAGCACAACAATAACACCCATTACCAGTAAGATCCTCCATATTTGATGGCTTCATGTCAACGATATTAAACGATTGATCGGTGACTTCAAGGTTCCACAAATTTACCCTAAGATCATCTGCAGATATAAAGGTCTCACCATCGCTGCAAAAGGGTTATCTGGTTATGAACCAATATTCTCCCTTAGATGCAGCAAAAAGATCTAAACTTTTAATTATATACTTCGTTGAATGCCTTCCATCATGTAGAACCCAAAACACAGTTCTGTCTGAGTTCTGGAACACGTTTGTATGCAATAATTCTAAATATAAAAGAAAAAGGAAAATGTTATATTTCTGTTGAAAAAGGAAACACCAAAAAGCACATGTACCTGTTATTCGAAATTGAATTGATATTAAAATCATGAGCATTAGCATACACCCTTCTACATCTTGCATAAGCAGTGTCTTCATAGTTGGCAATCTAGTAACATAATAAGGCAGTAAATAACTTGCATACCAAACAAACAAAAACGATACCTCTAAATGATCTCTGACCTAGTCCACTCAATACTCATCATATACACCTTATAATGCAAATCATGAGATGGGAAAATATTGTTTGCCACATTCTCTTCCCCTTCTAGGTTATTGCCATTAGCAACAGATGGTATGTCTTGCTCATTCAAAAAACTCCTTTCACCCAGAAGAACATTTTCTGTTGAGACAAATTGACAAGGAAAATCCATTTCCCTGGCTTTCTTCACCTTTCGACCCTTTACCTGACAAGAAAAATTCGTTTAAATTTTGCAATGTATATCTTATGTAAAGCAAAATGGAAGAGGAAGTTATCAGAAGTCATAGGAACACACACCTTCCACAGTTTAATTGTCTTATCGTTGGTTGAAAGGATAAAGAGTGATCCATTGAGACTTGTACACCATTTTAGTTTGTTAATCTTCTCTTCAATCTCCAGACTCTTCAAATAGTCGAACTATAAAAAGGGACATGGCATCAAGAACCAATACAAATGGATACAATATGATAACATGACAGTGTTTCAGGTGTAAGTAAGCATACCTCAGGTTCACGACTCTGAAATTCAGTTTTATATTGATATTCAGGATGGCTTAGAGAGACATAATCCAACTGTTCCAGTTGATTTCGGGAATAGTGCCTCTCTGCAGTCTATGAAGCAATTGTAAAAGAAGATCATAAAACAACCAATACAGCAGCAATGCATGCCTATAACATTACAGACATTAAACATATTACAAGGACAAATAAGGATCCTATTTTCTTCTTTTGGATAACACGTCTCCGTTTGATTTATTACTTCGGCTAATTGCTTTGAGGTACTTACATTTATACACTCCCAAAAGTTCTTAAAAGCAAAAGAGCACCAATTTTTTTTTAAATAAGCAAATGGATAAAGTAAAATCATGCGTTTTCTTGGTCAGAGAAAGAAAACTCTTCTTTACTGAAGTAGATATTCACTTTTTGCTCTTATCTTTCTGCATTAGAAAGCGAAAAAGTGTAACAATGAAAACAAATATAAGCTGAGGTTATTGTATTGAAGATAAAGTTGCAATACAACTGAGAAATTCACACATCTTTTCCATCCTTTGCCTCGAATATCACAATCCGACCGCCTCGATCTCCAACAGCAACGTAATTACCACTCTTGTCAAATTCAACCGCCGATATTATATCAGCTGAAAAAGAAAAGAAAGACACATCTACTCTTCATTTCGTTTCAAACAGGTAAACTTTAAATTTGAAAAAAAATAATAATGAAGATTGCTCATAAGGAGCAGCCGAGCAGTGGCCATGCAAGCAAACAAAACACCATTCGATGGAGAGAGAGAGAGAAGAAGAAGAAGAATAGAAAGCGCAAACCGTCTTGAATTTCGTCATCGGGGCTTCTTTCGCCGAAGACTTGAGAGAAGTCCAGTCCAGAGGAGAAACGCGAGTGATAGGGTGGCGCGTGGTTGAATTCATGCTAGCTTCGTTCCTCAGTCATTAAATGTCCATCCGAAGAAGAATTATTGAGAAAAGAGGAGCTTACGTGTTGATTCTCTGTCGTCGAACTCAAATCCTACGTGTTCTGTTCCCATAAAAACTTTGCCATTTAGTTTTCTCAGCACAATACGTGGTGTGGAGTCTCAGCGGCCCGGGGTCACAACACTTGTTTGTTTGGACTTATATTTTTATCCAAACTCTACGTACGAATTTATTAATGAAAAAATTGATATTTATCGATGTATTAATTTAAGTAATAAATAAGTTGATATCGTTTAAGTAAAATTTTAAGTTTGAGTCTTTATGTATATATAAAGTCTTTATTGTAAGACTCGTTTATCAAAATTAGATAGACGAATCGAGTCATTCTAGATTAATTAAAGTGAAACCTTAAAACTGGAGGACAAACTAAAAAGAAAACATTAATATCTATATTTTAATCTATTTATGAATTAATTCAAAATTATATATTATAAAAATTTATTTCAAAACAATTATTTTTGTTTTCAATATATTATAAAAATAGTAATTTTTTTATTAAAAAAAGGACAAAGAAAATGCAACAACCCAAAACATAAATGAAATATACAGACATTGATGAAAGCCATACATTCGAGCATGTAATGCATTTTAAAGAAAACCTCCCGCTCAAAACGGATCGGTATGAAAATTATAGGAGTTGAAAAGAAAAAAAGAAGAAGAAGAGAATTCCAGGTTGCTGCAGTTTCCGACAACCGCCACAAAGAAAATGCCAGGGCCAGGACCTCACCTCATGTATGCAATGAGCTCTGGCATAGCTCTGACGCACCTCACCAAGGGGCGTTTCACGACGCACCACACCCTCATCTACGCTCTCAACGCCTTCTTCGGCCCAGACATGGGCTCCTTCTCCGAATGGCTGAGCTCCACTTTCTTCGACGACAATTCCGTCGTCTCGTCTTTAGCCGATGAAATCCATCACCCTTTTTATTACGTGGTGATCCTAGGTTTCCCTTTGTGCGTTTTCTACTCTTGGCTATCAAACGAATTGGTGGGAACAAGGCTACTTGATTATGGTTATGGGGTGAGCTTACTTTTTAAATATATAACGCCAATGGTGATCAACCCATGCATATGATTTGGTTGCTAATGTTGCAGGTGCCACTTTCAAGGTTGCAGGCCTTATTCTTGATAGCAGCTGGTTCATTGTCACACTTTTTCCTCGACCACTTATTTGAGGTAAAAGTTCATTTTTCTTTCCACCCCCAAGGGTGAGGGAAAGCTGTTGTTTCATTTCATCCTCTACCTATATTCATGGATTCGAGGGGCTTTGTTTTACGTAAGTTTGATGGGGGAATATGTATTATGTACAGGAAGATGGTCACACAAAAATGTATACTTGGATAATGAGCACCGGTTGGTGGATAAACCGAGCACCTGTCAACCCAGATGCTGTCATAATAGTCGGCTTCTTATGCGTTTGTTTGATCGGCGGCTTCATCTACATCAACAGGTGCTTATTTCTTCATACTGCTATACATCTCAGCATCCATTATATATATGTATCTCTAACATATAAAATCATTTTGCAGTTCAAAGTTAAGAAAGTCAACAGCGAGAAAACAAACATGTGAATCAATGAAATTGATGGTGATTATAGGAAGCCTCTACTGCTTATGGTGTGCAAGCCAAATATACTGGATGAGCCCTCGTCGGCCGCCGGTTGGCGAAGAAGCTGATCTTGGAGTTCTCGTATTTATGGCCATCTACTTTCTTCTTCCTCACTGGCTCTGTATTTTATCCATGGACCCTATTCCTCTCCGCACGCAACGCTTCCCTGTATGGTTTGCGACAAGGTCATCAGAATTTGGATGGGATTAATTATTTCACTCGGCTTCTTGTACTATATTACTCACATTTCATATCTTCTGTACGTTGATTTCCAAGGAAAAAGCTGAAAAGCATGTAAAATGTTAATAGATTTAAGGTGACACGATGACGTTTTTCACCCTCCATTTTTAATTATAGGTAATTATTCTAATGCTCCGTGAATTTTCTAGTTTTTGTTAATTTGACAGTACAATAGGCGTGTTTGACAAATATAAGATAAATGCGTATGCAATGTTGTCATTTTGGCGTGATGAAGTTGCAAATTGTCGAAGTTTGTTGCATTTATTTACTTTCTAGTCCTATATGGGGAACAAATTAATTGACATGCAACCTCTCATCTCAGCATGGCCTGAGAATTTTGTATAGTGGCAGATCCATAAATATTTTTCAGGCTGGGCATATATGTATTAACAACAACAAAATTTCTTAACGGGTGGGCACAAATGAATTTTCAAGGTGGGCACATTCAGTATAATGAAGAAATAAGATAAATAAATTCGGATTCCAGAATGACCATTGATTATGCGCCATATTTTCTCCCTTGAGAAAGATCATATCAAATTTTTTTTAAAACTTTTACAAGTACTAAATTTGAAAATTCCAAGGTAAGGAAGTTTAGGAAAAACATAAATTTATGGTAAAAATATATCCTAAACTATGACACTTTTTTAAAATTAGTCCCCGATTTTTTTTAATATTCTAATGTCATCCTCAAATTTATCCAAATATATAATTAGTTTCAACCGTAACTTAACCTAATTTTTTTTCAAGCATACAATATATAAATTGGCCTAACAATTTTATTAACAAGGGATGTGATTAGTATATACATATAATTTAGATGGAATTAGAATGCTAAAAAAGTTTAGGGTTCAATTTAGAATGAATGTTGTAGTTTAGGAATGAAATAGAGATAATCAAAAGTTTGAGGACCAGTTAGATGATAATCATAGTTTAAAGATGAAATTAAAATATTTAAAAATTTAAAGAGCAATTTAAAATAAGGGTCTATGATCATTTCTATATATGTTTATAAGCTGAGTCGGTGCAATCTTTACCTATAAATTAGGTGATGTTTAAATTCGTGTTATTAATTAGGAATAAATGGATTTAATTTTAAAATCAAATTTAGATAAATTAAAAAACTTATCGATGACCCAACTATTCTCTAAGAATCAATTGATCACATGAACCCATCCATCCGGAAGTTCTGCACAACCAATGATGATTTATTACTCTTTAATGGTGGAGCCACAACTAATGATGGCCTTTTTAAATTCTTTCTAATGTTCAACCAATTATTGCTTCTTTTTTTCCTTTCTAACGATGCCATTTTTTTTAATAATTATTAATATTTACTTTATTAAAAATTTAATTATAACTAAATATTATAAAATCTTAACATAAGATGGTTTTTTTTAATTTAATTTAATTTAGTCTATTTATATTAGAATTTAAATTATTAATTTTATTTAAAATATTTAACACCATTTCATTAAATTAACTAATAATTAAGTTATATTTTAATAAAACGAATATATAAAATATTAAAATTATTATTTCTATATTATTAGCACATTTATCAAAAATCAAAGGAGCAAATTGAATTGTTTAATTGAGATTATCATTATTATATTGTTTTAAAATATTTAGATTACAAATTATTTTTTGATTTAAATGTTTTAAGATCTTAGGTGTTTAAGAAATTGTATCAAATATATATGTAGGACAAAATATATATATATATAATTTAGTATATCATTATTGTAATAATATTTTAAAAATTAATGAGTTTTTTTATGTATAGGTATTTTTATATGTATATAGTTAAACGACTTACTTATGTCATTTGTTATAATACACGCGAAACTCATCACATATAAGTGATTAGTTTTATATAATTTTGATTTATTTCATACGATTAGCTCTATTTTTCAAATATATTTTATAGAACTCGTCATCTCTATATTAGGAAGTTCACGTGTAGTGTAGCAAATGACTTAAATTTTAAAATAAATTTGAAATCACCCTATTTTGCTAATTAATTATTTTCTCTGCCTTTGCTTAATTTTACCTGTAGATTACTTTAGATTATATACATGCTTGTATAATTTTCATCATAAAAAATATCAGATGTTGAGAAAATACATTTGATGATTGATCAAATTGTTCATCTATATTTGTTTAAATTATGAGTTCTAAATCTATAAGGAACATTTCCTTTCTTTTTCTATAGTTATTTTCCCTTTTTCTCTTAAGCAGAATTATAATTAGATTTAAAATTTATTAAAAAGATATATGTTAATAATTTATCAAACCTACATTCTATGAAGAATTTAATAAAACAAAATTTTCCTAATAATTTTCAAAACACATTAATTTGGATTTTGGTTTATCAAATGAAAAAAAAAATCTTTTCAATTGAGAGAAAAACGAAGGCGATAAAATCCAACAGCATCGCTGACGAAAGTGGCAAAATTATCAATGTCGTGTTCTCGTGTCTGCTCCGGCCAATCCTCCTTGCATCTTTTTTTCTTCCTAACCTAGTAAGAATAATGGGTAAAAAATGCAAATGGTCACTCGATTATAGGATACTACTTTATTAAGTCTATTGACTATTAAAAATTATAAAATAATTCTTCGACTATACTATAAGGTATTGTTTTGTTGAGTCCCTCAACTATTAAAAGTTACAAAATGGTCACTTAATTATTCATTGTGCTCCAAAAGACGAATTTTGAGTTGAACGTTAACTTGTTGATTGTGATATGATAAAGTTTTGATTATAAAATCTCAAATGATTATCATATTCCAGTCTTCATATTAACATCAATCTTAAACAACCACCATTTTTTTAACAGAAAAGAACAAATCTGAAACATAATGAATATTCGTGTGATTATTTTATAACTTTTAATAGTCGAGAGATACAACAAAACAACACTCTACAGTTGAATGATATTTTATAAATTTTAATAGTCAAGAGACTTAATAAAATAATATCCTATAGTCGGAGTACCATTTATGTTCTTTATCCAATAATAATTCATGAGATTATAAAAATATAAAAAGTCAAAACCCAACCCCAAAGAATTATCTTATTTTTATCCTTTAAAAAACCCATATGTATGAAGAACAGATCGTTCTTTCATTGATGTGGTTCATCGATCAACATCACCAATTATATAATATAATATAATAAGGTATTCGAGTAGTAATTTCTGAAACTTTGACGATTGATAATTTAATTATTAAAATTTCTATTTTGAAGAGATAATTTTATAAGGGTAAAGTATATAAATAGTCATTCGACTATAGAGTGTTGTTTTATCGAGTCCTACGACTATTAAAAGTTATAAAATGTTTCTCTAACTATAAGACATTGTTTTTAAGTCCCCTGACTATTAAAAGTTACAAAATGGTCACCCAACTATTCATTGTGTTCTAAACTTGTCCATTTTCGATAAAAAATTGATGGCAATTTGAGTTGGATGTTAACCTGCTAACTGAGACATAATATAATATGATCCGAGAATCTAAAACGGTTATCATATCTCAATCAATATATTAACGTCTAGCTCAAACTATCATAAATTGTTTAACAAAAAAGGACAAATTTGTAACACAATGAATAATCAGGTGACCATTTTATAAGTTTTAATAGTAAGGAGAATTAAAAAAAGCAATGTCCTATAGTCAAAATACTATTTTGTAACTTTTAATAGTCGGAAGATTCAATAAAATAACATCTTATAGTAGGAGACCATCTATGTAATTTACCCATTTTATAATTAAAATTTTAATATTTTTAAGAAATGTGTAGGTAGAATCTTGTAAAAATTAGTATATTTTTATATGAAAATGAATTATATATATATATTTTTAAAAATCCTCTCATTGTGGGTCTCTAAATCTATAAGATTACTTACAAGTTAATGGATGCATCAAATGAATAGTATTGTCACTTGTGGCCGTTTTCATTTGAAGTAGGTGCTTTAGTTTCTCTGCCCATCGTTTTTCAGTAAAAAAAGAAGCTTTTTTTGTGAGAACATAAACAAGAGAAAGAAGAGTTGAGATATTATCCCTTGCGGCCATGGCAGCTCTTAGAATCTCCTCACTGCTTACTCGTTCACTCTCTGCTTCATCCTCTGTATCTTCTTCTCTGCTTTCATCTATAGGTGCTCGCTCTTGTCTTTAACCTTTATTTTTCTTCCTTCTACCCTTTTGTTTATTTGATTTGGTTCAAGTTTTGTTTTTTCTTTATTGCTTTAAAGTTTTTGTTTCATAAGCTTAGATATTCTCTTGAATGCCTCTTGGTTTTCGATTTAATATAGTAGTTTCTGACTTTCTGTTTGGTTGATGAGAAATTGAACAATAGAAAGGAAAATGCTGGTTGTTTTCGTCTCCTTGTGTTTTAGCCTTGTTGTGTGTGTTGTGGGAAAAGGTTCAAGCTCTGTCCTTGTATTAAATGCAATCATCTGAGAAAAATAGAGTAAGGGAACATAGCTTTTCACAAGTACCATGCTTATTGCTTCCTTTCAGCAATAAATACATTTGGTCTACTTTTCTCATCTTTCTAGCCGAGTTACAAAAGTTACCGACTCACTTTTTTTTAATTAATTTCCCCATTTTCTTCTCAGAAATTTGTATGTAGCGATAAATCTTCTTCCCCCCTTTTTTTTCCAGGGAAAATCACTGGCAGGAATGCAAGTGTGAGTAGGTTTAGCAATGCTGCGGCTCTGGATGATCTGGTCGTTCCTCCTGTTCAAATATCTTACACTCAGCATTTAATTGATGGCAAATTTGTAGATGCTGCATCAGGTAAAGAGATTTTTTAGCTTTAGTTTGCTTTTGTGCAACGAAACTGATGTTATTTGATGACATTGATCGAACAGGGAAAACATTCCCTACCTATGACCCTCGTACCGGAGAAGTGATTGCACGTGTTGCTGAAGGTGACGCCGAAGATATTAACCGAGCAGTAGCCGCTGCTTGCAAGGCGTTCAAGGGACCGTGGCCAAAAATGACTCCCTATGTAAGGATTTCAATTCGGGGTTGGCTTTACTATATGAAAAGATATCTGATTTGTTGATGTTTTCATTTCAGGAACGGTCACGGATTCTTTTGCGGTTTGCCGATTTGGTCGAGAAACATAGTGAGGAGCTCGCGGCATTGGAGACATGGAATAATGGAAAGCCTCACGAGCAGGCTGCTAAATCTGAATTGCCGTTGCTCGTACGGCTTTTTCACTACTATGCAGGTTGGACAGATAAGATCCATGGGCTAACAGTTCCGGCTGATGGACCTCACCACGTTCAGACATTGCATGAGCCAATAGGTGTTGCAGGACAGATTATTCCATGGAACTTTCCTCTTCTCATGTTTGCTTGGAAGGTTGGCCCTGCATTGGCATGTGGCAATACCATTGTCTTAAAGACTGCTGAGCAAACTCCTTTGACTGCTCTCTATGCGGCTAAGCTGTTCCAAGAGGTACTCAAAATAACGATCAGAAAGTAGATTTTGTTTGGAATTATGACCAGGAGTCGGGTAAAAATGTATGAACACCCCACGGTTTCTTGCTGGTTATGAAACTAGTCTTAAAACTCTTGGACAGAGATCATGCAAATGCTGAATGTGTTTTGAGATGTTTACGTTAAATTTATCTTAATCACTTCCACTTCAATATTGATCACCAAAATCATCATCTTGAAACCTACCCTGAATTCTTTATGATAGGCTGGTCTCCCTCCAGGTGTCTTGAATGTAGTTTCTGGCTATGGTCCTACAGCTGGTGCTACTCTTGCCAGCCACATGGATGTAGACAAGGTCTCAAAATTCCAGTCTTCGAATCTTCTGTTTTCAATATCATTTCTTAAGTACGTGATAATATAGCAGCATTTACTCTTAAGACTTAACCTTTATTCATAGAGGAACAGAAATGGCTAGCTACATAATGATGCCAGATTGCTACGGTCAAAATCATTCTACTCTTCATTGGCTTGTCTGGTCCTCGTTAAAATGCACACCTTAATTCTGTTTTTCAGTTATGCCTATGGTTCATGCCAAAAAAAGATTACGTATAAGGAATGCGAAGATGTCAAAGCAACAAGCTTCATTGGGCTATGGCTGAATGGTAACTGAATTGAGAGTTCAGACTGTTCTGTTTGAGGGAGTGACTAAAATAAATAGCCAAGCAAGAAGATGGATCTCTCACTTGTTCTGTAAAGAAAAAAACTACGATTTGACTCGGAAAAATAGCTTGCCTGCATTTAGAGTTCAATGTTCCCCTGGTCAATATCGAGTTCCATGGGTTGATGGGTTTGTACCCCATAAAACTATGAAGTTGCATTCTGTATGTGTAGACACCCGTTTTTGTCCGGGTCTTTTTTATTTTTGTTTATATTTTTTCTATTATTATTATTATAATTATTATTACTATTATTTTATTATTCTTATTATTAAATTACAAGTTACATTTTTGCAGGCCAATTATTGAGGCCCAGTACATCACAGACCCGATCCAGCAACCCTTCAACCTGAAGCCTGAAATTCGGACCCAAATCAGCCTAACTAAACCCTAAGTAGATTAGGGTTTCTACCCTAATCCCCTAATCATTCAACAGCCGCCGCGCGCCTGACCGTTTAGCTTCCCAGCCGAGCTTCACCCTCGCCCCCGCCGCCATTGGAGCCGATTAGAACACGTCCATCGAACAGTGATCACCTACAGTGACCGAGACTCCATCAGTCAGAACGAAAGCAGAATAAACCCAATAGAAAAATGAAAAGAAATCCATGTGATATCCCAATGCAATCTAACATGTCAATAACATCTATCAGCAACAAACAATCACAAAAAAAACACAGAGGCGACATAAAGCAGAGTAGAGAGAAATATTGGGGATTCATTCGGGGATTACATTCGAATGGGGGAGGGGGTGACAAAAAAAAAAAAAAAAAGCCAAGAGTTACATAGCCAAAGGAGAGAAAGAGAGAACCCTTACCTCGGTCGAAGGAAGCCATCGAGAACACCAAAGGTCGTCGGTGTCTTATTACTTCGAAAGGTAAACTTGTAGATCTGGGGGCCTAGAGTGGGTTTTAGACTAAGATGGTTGGGGATTTGGGTTGAGGAGAACGAGGGGGATTTTTTGAGATAGGTTGTTCCCTCCGGCCACCGTGCGTCGCCGTGGACTCCGCCGGCGGCAGCGGTTGGCACCTTCTCCGATGAGAGAGTTGGGAGAGTTCTCTCCAACTCTCTCTCTGGTTTTTGGTTGAAATGAAGAAATGAGGGAATATGAGAGATGAGCTCGGTTTTGGGGGGGTATGCCGAGCAAAACGCAGTCGTTTTGCCCCAATATCATCTGATTTTTTGAGTTACGGGATAACTACACTTTTAGTCCCTTGGGTTTTGTAATCCTATATTGAGGCATTTAATGAAGTTCCATTCCTTTGATTTTGAGCACTTACATTTCAGAGTTTATATTTAAGTCCCTAGTTCGTTTATTTTACCATATTTGTTTTTGTTTGATATTGGTCACCATATTTTAATTATTCTATTTTTATCACTGATTTAATGTTATGATATTTTCCCTGCTATTCGAGTGGCCATGATATTTATGTTTCTTACATTTAGTCACTGATCCTGTTATGTTTTATGTTCGAATTTGGAAGCAATATTTGTAAATCAATCACTTTAGTCACTAATTTACATTTTGATTATTTATGATTCAGCCTTCTTGTTTTTGTTTATTACTGTTTAGACCTTCAAATGTCTATTTTTATTATTTTAGTCCTATTATTACATGTTATATTATTATACTCATATTTTACTTTGGCCACAATGTTTGTATTAGTTTCATTTTAGTCACTGATTTTGTATGTTGTATATTTTGGCTGATGTTCGAATTTGACTCTAAGATTTGTAAATCTGTTCATTTTAGTCACTAGTTTGCATTCTGTTTAATTACTATTTTAGTCCCTACATTTCTGTTTTTTGCCATTTTAGTCTTTTAATTTTCTATTTTGCTGTTTTAGCCCTTTAATTTGTTATTACCATGTTAGTCATTGTAATTATTAAATACTTACTTTTTGACCATTATATTTTGGGTTGTAACATTCATTTGTATTTATTTCAATATGTATGTGCATATTTCGTGTTATGTAGTCATTTGTATCAAATGTAAATAAATATGCCTAACTCTATTTGTTGTAAATATTTTATTGTGCATTTTTTAATCATATTTATTTCCATTTCCTTAAGTATTAATGTTATCCGAATATTTCAAGAATGTATTTGTAGAACGGGTGTGGAGAGTATCACTTGACCGAAGTAGTACAATCTGATACAACGTTCAAACGAAATAAGACTTGAAATAAATTTAATTTATTTTACTGATTAAATCTCTTATGATTCAATGTGTTTTTATATGGCAATTTAATTTATGTAGAGGTCGATAGTTAATTTATATTCGTTTCAATTTTTTTAATCAATGTTGATGGAATATTCTTTTACTGATAAGAAATAGTCGAGTTAGCTTTCTCGATGGAGGATTACTAATTTCGAGATTTCTTTTCGGGTTAAAGAATTTTCTATAATTAATTAGTTCGAAGTGAATAAATCAATGTTCAATAAACGGATCACATTTTAACTTTATATTCTACTCATAAATTCCACCATTTACGACAAGGTGTAAGCGACACAGTACCAATTTTGGGCGTTGTAGGGGTGTTTATCCTTCCCCACACGTAACCGACTCCCGAATCCATTTTAATTGAATCTTCGGTAAACGCAGACTATTTTTGTCTTAAAAATGATTTTTCTTAAAATTGTTTTAAAAGACGTTTTTAGGTATTCGGCATACCTAACCCAAAGGTAGATGGTGACTCTATTCAATTTAATTCAAATTAATTTCAAATCACCAATTTTCAAATAAAAGTCATAATCGTTTTTTAAAATAATATTTAATTGTTTTACTTAAAAAATGGTTATGACAGCTTGGCAACTCTGCTGGGGACTTTTTTTTTAGAGAGTCAGGCTGTATGTCGTTTACATATTGTCATCTTGGTGGAAATTATGATTTCTAGTTTTAGTTAATTTATGATCCGTTTATTGAAATTTTTAATTGCTTCGTTTTTTTGTCGTACTAACATTTTATTTTTGGCTTTCAGCTTTGTCAGGATTTTATCATTTTTCCTTGTTTTGTTTTCCTTTTGAGTCGAAGGTAAGTATGTTCCTCCTCACACACATCACTCGCATTGGCATAACATAAGCTCTAGACACGAGCTTCGATCCAAATTAGTTGGGGTGAATGCTTTACTCTCGTAAGAATTTATTCTTCGTATGAGTTTTAGCAAATAACCCATGGGATACATACCTTATACCTTCGTAGGAATTTATTCCTCGTATGGGTATAAGGCAGTGAATCCCCTCGAATTGAACTCGGTCCGTTTGAAACCTGTAATGGGTAAGGATTGAGGGTCTGGCAGCCCAAGGGGGCACCGACATCAAGGACAATTCGAGTCCCTTTTTTCCGTTAGAGCCAAAACCAAGCATATAGTGAACCGTCGAACGATCACCCTAGGTATAGTCATACCGAACCTTTGTCTGTCAGTAGGTACCCAAACTAGGTGTACACAAAGGAGGAGTGTTTCTAAACCCTTATCTTTTGTTTTAATTTCGTAGAATTTGTTTTCTTTTTGAATAAAAGCATGCGAACTAGATACCATGCGGTTAGGACCAATTTTTTGAAATTATTCATTTTGGGTAGATAACATGTACGGGTAGGACTATTATCTATTTAAAGCATGCTCGGGTAGATATCATGATGGGTAGGTGTTGTATTCATCTTTTAATAACACTTTTATCTATATCGATTGTCTTACCTGTACTAACTAATTTCTTTTATTTTCTTTGTGTGCACTAACTTATTTATTTTCTGTTGTTTTTGTTTTTTTCATTCTTCTTTACATTGCATCATCATAACATAATGCGAAAATGTTGATCAGTAAGGGGATATTCGAGAGAAAATTTTCACAAGAAGAGATAAAAGTTTTCAACCAAGCAGTCGCGTACACAGACATGCACCGAAGGCTAAAAAGAAATGCACAGAGTACGAGAAGGAGACTTGCTCAAGACGATCGTGCAACGTTCGAGAATAAAATGATGAGCCACTGATCCGATGAGTGATCCAGCAGTCGATTTTTATCTACGATCGTTTCATCGCTATTTATCAAGGAGCGGCACAATGACTTCAGCATCGCCGGGTCATTAAAAGAGTCTGTTTACAAAACGCTTGAGGGGCATCATTTTCAAGGATGAAGATCCAAGATGAAGCAGCGACCCATTTCAGATTCAACATCTAAGAGAAGTCAAGTCTGTAAAGTGGACTGTCTTGTAATGTGAAAACTTTTATTTCTGGTGAAAATTGTTCTAAAATATTCATTGTCGGGATCAACATTTCTGCATTTGCATTTTCATCGTTGCATTTTGCATAACATTCATTTAAGCATGTTTACATGCATTAATCATACCTTGCTGGAAACTTTGAGGAAGCACTTCTAACTGTGCAATTGCATTCACACAATACTGAGAATGGATGCAAAATTTGAGGAATTAAAGAAAGAGCTGAACGAGAGTTTGCAAAAGATGCAAGTTGAGTGGGAGGTTAAAATGGAGCAGATGCAAAAGACCACCGTGGATCGTATCTTGCAAAACCAAAAAGACCTAGTTGACCAAATGGTAGCAAAGATGGCTGAGCTCAACCAAGAAAAAGGCAAAGAAAAGATTTCATTGACCCGTGAAACAGTTAAATGTGTGGAAGCACAGGCTA